AGTGCACATGTAAAGAGTGTTTCATTTAGTGTCTTGGGATATGTGGTTTTATGGTCAGTTCTTGAATCTTTCTGCAGGCCAATCTGGGCCAAAATTTCTCAAGATTTTGCTTGGCTTCTTACATGTAGTGAAGTTAATACTAGCCATTTTGGGGCAGCTCCTTAGCTGGTGTAAATTGATTTATCCCAGCACCAGATCTGGCTCTTGGTCTTTATATTCAGTTCATTCATTGAAGTCAGACTTTTTGGCTGAATGTGTAAAAGCTTGTTTCCTTTTAACTATTGCAGTATATCATGCAGTCTTCTTGGAAGAGCTGACCACCCTGGAATTGATTGAGAAGATTGCAAACTTGTATAGCATTTCCCCACAGCAGATAAATCGGATCTATCGGCAAGGACCTACAGGCATCCACGTCCTAGTGAGCAACGAGGTAAGGGGTTGCTAAAGCAAACACATGTCATACCAAGTATCAGAGTTCAAGACAGCTGCCTGACTTTCTTTATTTGTTTTATAGTTAGGCTGACCTTTAAAACTATGAGAGAGTCTCCCAGGGAACTAGGCAAGATTACGAAGCCTGAAAAATTGTTTGACTTCCATACTTGTTTCAGATATTTTTGAATTTTAAGCCAAAGAATTCAGCCATAAATCTACCTTTTGTTCTCCTTAAGGGAAGTTGTTTTTACATGATATTTGCTGTAGCCTGAAATGTATTTTCATTCCAGTTAATTTCAAAACTGATAACTTTTTGGGTGCCTGATCTAATTCAAGCCTTTTAGGGTGGGGCACCCTGAAATCACTTTCCAGTCACTCTTCCAACAGAACATAAGAATGGTCATATTGGGTCAGACCAAAGGGTCCATATAGTCCTATATCCTGTCTTCTGATGGTGGCCAATGCCAGGTGCCCCAGAGGGAATGAGCAGAACAGGGAATCAAGTGATTCATCACCTGTTGCCCATTCCCAGCTTCTAGAGGCTAGGGACATCACCCATGCCCATCCTGGCTATGAGCCACTGATGGACCTGTTCTCCATGAATTTATCTAGATCTTTTTTTGAATCTCATTATAGTCTTTGGCTTCACAGCATCCTCTGGCAAGGAGTTCCACAGGTTGATTCTTATGTCTTAGCCAATGGCTGCAGACATTGAGCCAAAGTTATTGCTTGCTAAGTGTATGCAGCAAAACCCTTGAATTCTTGGCAGTTGCCTGCTTATATAAGCCCTTCATTTGGTCTGTTTCACTAATAACATGCAAAATGGATTGCCCCCATTCTTCCCCCCCCTCCCAAAAGACTTTCTCTTTTCATGCACCGGAATCACTTAAGGAGTTTCATTTGGAGGGACTGGCCCTGCACCTGAAAGGAACATTGTTAAAGCAAACAAAGCAGAGAGCGGGATTCAAATGGGGCCTAAATTTAAGCCTGTAATTCTTACTTGGAAAGTCTCCTTGCCATGTCACCCTGATTAAATCAGAAACCTTGGAGCGTTTAATGGTCCTGAAGTGCTTTGAGGCAGCCCGTGAAAGGGGAATTGCCTCAACTACCTCTGTTGTGAGGGGGCCTTCGTTAAATCCTTAAGTTACTGATTAACAATATCGATGACTTTATTTTTGGTCTTTTGTGTTGTAATGGCAGAGAGGCAAAAGTGATGCAAACGAGAGGCTCCGGGTTAATGTATTTCATGCATCGTTAGGTGCGCGCTCACACAGTGGAGTCTCATTTGGTGGGGGCCAAAAGGAGCTTGGTGGGAAGAGAGGGGGGGTGGGGCTAACTTAGCCTGAGGGGAGCCAGAGGTGGAAAGGGAGGTTACTATGAGAACTTCACGAGAATGAAGGTGGAATTACTATGCTTGCCTTGGGGGGGATGTTCAAGTTTAAACAGGTAGGGGCCAGATTTTCAAGTGCTCAGCACACAATGGGGCTAGACTCTTAAAAGAGCTTAGGAATTTAGGCACTTCATTGCCTTCAGTTCCCATTGTAATGCTTCCAGCGCGCTTCCCAGAGGTCCCTCTCTCTCTGCCCAGCCTGAGCAGTTACTTGGGGATTTCAGTGGGAGCTTTTCTTTCAAACCTGGTTGCTTCTCCTGAGTAACTAGCTCTGCCCGGGTTCGCGACTCACCCTACCTGCTTTGATCTCGCTCTTGAGTGTCCCATATGAATTTGGTTGAGATGCATGTGAATTGTCTACTTGCGGAGAGGAAGTCAGAGGCAGAGGTGATATGTAAGCACAGTCATCCGAAGGAGGCTGCCTGACTCATTTTATCTAAGGCCCTTGGTGATATTGCTATGAGGAAGGACATCCCTTTTCCGTGTTTAGGAGCAACCCTCCTCTCCTGATTAGAAGCAGGAAGTGATGGTAATGATCTGCGCTCAACTGAGCCGTGTACTTCTACTGGATCAATATTTCACTAGTTGGTCCATTGGTCGACTCGAAAAGAAGGGATCATATCTTAGCCATTGCAAATCGGACTAGTCCCGGTCAAGTCCCTGGAGCTACACCAGCTTACGGCAGCTGAGACGATGATCGTGACTCTTAACTTCTTGACAAAGAGATCTGTGGAGCTGGTCAGACCTTGTTGGCATAAAAGAGCATTTTCCACAGACTTTAGTGGTGCAGGATCAGGCCCTGTTGGAGAGGGGGAATAGTCCCCCAAGGAAGTGATAGAAGGTCTGGTGCGTGCGACATTTAAAACAGACTGGAGAAACTATCAGTACATTATATAATAAGCCTCCATTATGATCCCAACCCCAGCTGGTGTAAATTGGCCTAATTCTGTTGAAGTTAATGGAGGTTGGCCAGTTTAAGGTAAGGATACAATTTGTATCAACTACACGATTAGTCGATAAGGGAAGAGGCACTCTGTCCCCACTCACGACAGTCCGGGAGCTACCCCAACTGTGGCTCTGCTGTACTAGGAACTGGGTGAGCAGGCAGCCCGACTCATACTACATTTAAACTGAAGAGCCGCAGTGGGGATGGGTCCCGGACCAGCATGAGCCAGGACAGAGCCCCACGACTGCTGTGACTCTGCATTTTAAATGTAGTTCAAGCCGGGCGGTTCTTACTACAGTTAAAATGCAAAACCGCAGCGACCCTGGATTGGCAAGAGTTGGGGCTGAGTAGGGCTTGCTGGGTCCTGGCTTTTGCCGGGCTGTTTTTCCATGCCTTGCTGCCTCTGAAACAGGTGGGGGGGAATACCGTAGTCGACTTGACTACCTGATAAACTTAGGCTTATCGGATAGTCGATTACTCGATAACTCACTTCCCTAGTTTCAAGGTCCAATCCTTGCCCCATATAGAGTGGAGGTGTACTGGGTGACTTGATCTTGGAGGAAAAGCTGAATTTGTGAGATTATCTTTGGACTCAGTCCTGCAAAATGCTTAGCACTATAGATCTGATCCAGCAAAATACTTGAGCATGAGTTCGTCTCATTGGCTTTAATGGACTCTTCGTATATTCAATTTCTTTGCTGTATTGGGGCAAAATGCTCAGTGCTTTGTAAGATCTGATGCTTGGCTGATTGACTTTCCCCTTTTAAAACAGTGGTGGGCAACCTGCAACCCATTGGGGTTCTACGTGAGGCCAAGAAGATACTTTGTTTACCATTGCCCATGCACAAGGTTGCCAGATTCTGCTAGTTTTTGTCCACGTAATTTATTTCCTGTCATGACATGTGCATAAAGCAAGGGCATGTGAAATGAGCTGCATGCTGATTGCACACAACACTGACTGTGAGAGCCGTGTGCTCCCTCTGCATCCAGTCATAGTGCTGCTACGGTTCAGTTGGCTTCCCCTGAAAATTCTAGTTATGCAGCACGGTTAGCAAAACTGGGACACTGTCTGGGTTAGGACAATCTTGCAGCCCACTGAGATGAAGGACTCATGCAGCCCATTCACTAGCCTAGGTTTAAAAGGTGTATTGAGCATTGAAGTGTAACATTTGCTCCAGATGCTTAAGAGAGAAACTGACTTAGAATTTTTGTTCTTGTTTTTTCCCCTGCCATTCAGATGGTGCAAAACTTCCAGGACGAGTCTTGTTTTGTGATCAGCACATTGAAAGGTATGCTATTCTGTTTCTGCTTACCG